TATTTGCGAAGAGTAAAAGTTGCGAAGCTCCTTGTTATGCAAGTTTCTCCAGCCTCCAATCATTTAACCCCTCTTCGGTCTAAATATTCTCCTCTGCATTCTATTCTGAAACACCTTCAGTCTATGTTCTTCCCTTAATGTAGGACACCAAATTTCACACCCATACAAAACTAGAGGCAAAATTACAGTTTTGTGTATTTTAATTCTTACGTTTTTAGGCAGTAGACGAAAAGGCAAAAGGTTCTGAACTGAACAGTAGGAAGAATCACCCGAATTTAAACTTCTCCTAATTTCCTCGTAATCAAATCTTGGCTTTCTACTGTCATTCCCAAATACACGAGTAATAATTTCGCCACAATTTCAGATGATCTTTCAGTTGTTTCTATGTCCGGATTTCGCTCTGCATTCTGATTACAAGACATCAGCATATACTCAGTTTTCTCTGTGTTTACTTCTGAATCAACCTCCTCAGAAGCGACAATCAGTTTTTCAGTGTTTCGTTGCTGTATATAAAGATACATGCGAATTAGAAGAAACGAAAACATGGAATCGAGAAACATGTAATTTTATAATAATTTATCTTTACTTTTATGAGTAGGAGAGGATTCTTAACTGACTGACAGGAAGCATTTTCAGAATCTGATCTGTTCTTAATTTTTCCGCGAATTTGATTTTGACATCCCACAAGAACCTTAAGAATTCGCACTGTAGTCCTGTTCATGTATGCACTTTACTTTACAGCCTTGCTTCCTGCGTAAATCATAGGCAATATTGTAATCATTACTTGAGTTCAACAGCTGCTCTGTGGAGCACAGTTATTTATTAGGAAAGAGGTTGAAGGCGAGTAGAACAGCGTGTTTCTCCATTACGGCTATTGCTTGTTCTCTACTCAAAACAACACCTGTGCTGCCGCTTAAGGGAAGCTGGGAATTATAGAAAGAACGGGGGAATCATAACATAAATAGTAGCTTCATTACCTCAGTGCTAAAGTGGAATATGTTTGGATTTAGATGTACCTAAGTAGATCTGATGCCGGTCACGGTAGCCGAGCGGTCTAAGGCATGCACTGACTTCGCTCGCTCGGAAGCCGGGATCGTGAGTTCGAATCCCACTCAGGGCATGGTTGTTTGTGTGCGTTTTTCTGTGTTTGTGTACAGGTAGAGGCCTTGCGACGAGCTGATCACCCGCCCAAGGAGGCCTACCGAATGTCTAAGATCTAGAAAAACCGAAGTGAAGGGAGAAGTTAATGGAGGTAGGCCTAGGCCCATTGGGGCTGTAGTGCCAAGGAAAAAAAAGTAGATTTGGTAAAATTGTCTCTGTGCTTAACTAATTAAGCATACACTATGAAGGCATATGGTGGAGTGGATGTATAGATGCACGTTTTCTTGACTACGGCACTAGTTGGAGTTGAGTGGTTAGCTTCACGCCCAGGCCGCTTTATCCTCGGGGAAAGAGCCTCCGGTACCCATTGGATAGGAGGTTGAGTGGACCCCAGAGCCGGTCTGGACGACGTGAAGACCGTACTGGGACTCCAACTCCGACCTCTCGGTCGTCAAATCCGTAACCAGTTACTATACCGACTGCGCTATACCGGCTCAAAACTTTGATACACCTACCTAACACAAACATCGGCATCAAGACTGTATAGCTTAGGACAATGGAATGCTGAATTAGAAAGGATTAGAAAGGAAGTTGTTGTGACCCAATCGTGGCAATATCGCAACATTTCTCTGGAGGGAATTAGGTAAAGCAGATTAACAAATTTCCGAATGGGATTCGAACCGAGCACTACCAAATACATGTCTAGAGCGCTACTCCTCTCTAGACCAAACCGCTCGGTGTCACAAATTGTAACTGTTAAATAAATACAAGAACTGAGACCATAAAAGACGGAAGCGCAACCAGTAGCTTACTTTCCTGTCTGTGTATGAGTATTAGCTCCAATCAACTTTTGAATACCTAAAAAGCAGTCTTTATGGAACTTGGTATGTATATCATGCCACCTAACTCATCTCATATGCGTACTTCACAAATACCTCGCATCAGTCCGTGTGTCTGTGTGCGTATGTTGCTAGGCAACGGTCTTATATATCTTATAAACAAAAACACACAATACAGTTTCCAGTGCAACTTCATAGGTTATTTGTTGAATCACCACTTACTTGATGATTTCACATAAATTCAGCATCATGTATCGGTCATGCATGGCTATCAATATATATGGTGATAGGCGCAAAGTGTCTTACTGTGCCATTGATATTGAAAGTGAAATAAATGAAATTACAGTCAAGTATCTGAATTAGATACTTAGTTGTCATTTAACCAATATAGGGATGCGTACTCACTCGAATCATTGTACATGTTTCGCTTTGCTTGTCAGCTACATACGTATAAAGTTGCCTGTGTACGTTGACCTTCTATGAATTTCATTACGATGCCTGAATAGTAAACCAACGTTCCATGTTAACATATGCTCATCTGATGTATTATTCCCACAGTTTTCTTTCACTTTTATGAATTTAATTTCCTTTGAAACATTACAGTATACATTTCGCTTGAAAGTTTGTTGTTACTACTCACCACTCACCACTCACAAGTAATGCAAACACAGTATATACCGGTATATAATAATTACATAGAATAATTTATAGACCTAAGTTGTTGCTTTTGTAATCTGATGTAACGAAAGAGTTTTTATAATTCCTGGTGGTTATATTAGTGCGATGCACAGCTCAAACGGTTAGTCGCTAGCTTCCCACAGCGGTGGCCCGGGTTCGAGCCCGGGTCTGGTCAAGTAGGATTTGTGGTGGACAAAGTGGCGCTGGGCAGGTGTTCTCCGAGTACTTCGGAGACGTAATGGAGACGCAGAATGTTTTCTGCAGGGTATGAACTGATTTTTAATTATTGTCACGTGTATATATGATTGTCAGCGGGGCTTTGTATTGTATATTGGATTTATTGACCATTTATACACACGTAACAGAACTACAACAGGGCCACCGCTAATCGTCACAGCACCCGCTAAGCTCTCTCCAGCATGCTATGTCTTCACCAGCTGTTCCCTGACAACGGCTTCTAATAGTGGAGATTCTTCAGTTTCACGCTCTTAAGTCCTCCACAGACTCCCATACAGAACTGGCTTGGTCGCCCTGATTGTCTTATATCTCCTAAGCACGGACCACGTAGGAACACCTCGTTTCCAAAAGTATCTCTATTGTTGCGCGTCAGTTTGTTGCTGTGGTTCACTGGTATAATCGCCTGTCTCGAGGTCGTCGCATAGTAACGGTTCTACATGCTATTATTTGAGAGAACTTCAGGATTCATGTTAGTGTGCGTGTATTTAATTGTCGGAATGCTGGCTAGAAGCCAGTCTGCATTTGGACGGTCCTGTAACCGGCCAGCTCATCAAGATTTCTTATATATTTTTCATACATCCCTGAGAAATAAACTATATATTCAGTTTCTTCAAAAAAATATTTCTGCTTTTTTTCATTGTAAAAATATGGGGTCACCGTATATTCGGCGCTATACAGTACTATTCCCGTGATTAAGGTCGGAGCAAGTATTCAAGTCTACCAGACTACACGGCGTCGTCGCATCCCATACGATAACATTTATATTTCATAGTCGTCGCCGGAGAAATATAAATCCTAACACAATAAGGAGGAAGATGTGAAGACTGCATTGACAGGAAGAGCTATGACAGAATTCAAAAAAATATCTTGAAATATCAACCAAAAGGACGAAGACGTTTCTGAAGACTTCTGGAACGACGGAAAAATTCTGTTTTGTGATATCCTTAACGTGTCTCGACTTGTAGTCCCTTAACAAGTACACCGCAGAAACAGTAACACTACAAGACAACACAAGCACACAACAGTGAAAA